ACTGTCAACAACTTCCTTTTTGTGTCTGAAAAAAGTTTATCTTGCTCGACTAAACATAATATTATATTTTAATATAATGGAGTGGTAGGTAGGTATTGATAGGTATCTACCTTTTTTATAATCTGTCGTTTTGAAATTTTTACGACATATTTGGAGTGAAAAATGAAAATATATATCAAGTATCAACCTATGATGAAGCTTGAGTAAAAGCTACTATACCTTGGAATATTGATAAAATATTACTCACCGTGTCACTGGTGTAAATGTAATAAAAGTTACTAAAAGTACTGACGTAAAACAAGCCAATGGTCCTGTCATCGAGTCTTTCTTCTTTAATAAAAAATATTATTATTAATTATGCATTTAATACGGTTTCCACTTCCCAGTAATTCTATAGTAACATAAAAGTTAAATATAATGAATATACCTATCGATGATTTTTATGTAATAAAGATGCCAACATTTGTAAAAATATTTTTGGCATATTTGACGTATAGAAAAACATGAAATATTAACAAAAAATTGTTTGATCTATAACTGAAATTGTTATAAGGTTAATCATATGAAATAAAAGTACCTACTGGATAAATGCGAAACAGACATGCAGACTTTATAACTTTCAACCGATTAAGATTATGGTTACCTATTATATATAACTTATCTTATATAATGTATTGACGTATCTATAAGGATTTTTTTACCGATTGTACAATCAACTCACAGAAACATTTTTTGTTGATATTATGTCTGTATAGGTACCTAATCATACAAAATAAAAATACGAAATTATAATTGGTACTTAATGGTAAAATATTTTTGTTTTTTTTTTTTTAATTGCTGTTTGAGCTTCGTTAACTATGACGATTAACTTTTTGCGGGGGTTACGGTTTGTTATGGAGAACGTGTTTTATGTGGGGCAAGGATTTGTCGCCAAGAACCAGGATGGTCACTGCGGTCACACGTCAGGGACCAAGCGATGCCGGACGGTGCTTGACGGTGCACACGCGTAATATAAGCGACTGTGGCCAACCACCGCGACACACCAGGATCTAGTAAAATACCTACCTATTTAAAAAATATGCAAAAGTATGATAAAACAAAACTTTAGTATAATTGTTCAGCACGTGTTATAAATCTTACTTTTTTTTAAATTTAATAAAATGATGCATTAAAATAAAAATCCACCCTCATCAATCTAATAATAATTATTATAATTATGACATTTATAACTATATAGGTACTATTAGTTATTAGTTTATTACGTATATAGTATACGATATGAACATGTGTGTAAATTAGTCCGATACAGATCGATTTTTTACATAGGTAGGTATATTATCTGCAGTCTTGTAAAGTATTTGAGTAAAAGTATTTGAGTAAATGTATTTAAATACTTTTATTGTATTTAGAATACTTTTTAAATACTTTTTGAATAAAGTATTTGGAAAGTATTTTAAATACGGTTTTGGACGTATTTGTATTTGAAAATCAAATACTTTTATTTAAATACTTTATCGATTTTTTTTCAATAATAAATGATTATTTATTATCTTTTTTCTCAGAAATCAAAGTAATATCATGACTAAATAATAATATAGTCAATAGTCATGAGTAATATCATTGAAATTTAGTAAGTTTATTCCCGACATAGCCTCCTAAAATGCAAAATATTATTGTTTTTTTTCATTGAAGCCTATATTAGTTTATTGTGATGTGAATTATTTGAAACTCCAAACTATAAACATAGTACAATAATGAAGCGAAACTCGATCAGCTGATTCGGTTTACGACTTTACGTTTACCTATGATCTTATTTTTTTTTCCTGTTGAATAATTGAATAGTATAGGTACATACGTAATTATATACATTAATACAAATATTTTCACTACAGAAATATAGCATTTATATATAAATTATTTTCTCCAGAAGCTAGGTTTGTTGGGGAGATAAAGGTTCTTATAATATCTATTTAGTCTCATACAATAAATAATTAAAACGATCATTCGGTGATTATTAACTTATCATACAATTATAGGTACCTTGGTTAGTACCAGAATATGGAACATGCATTATAATATATGAACTATTAAGTATTAACTATATAATAATAATTAATATGTACAGTTTGAATGAGTTTGATCTCGTGGTCAAATTTAAAGTTAAAATATCAGAGAAAAAGTATTGAACCCAAAGGTAAAACTTAAAACAAATGTATTAAAATAAGTATTTGTGTTTAAATACTTTCTAAGTATTTGTATTTGTTCTTAAATACTTATTGAAAAAAGTACTTTAAATACTATTTAAATACTTTTTAAGTTGATGTATTTGTATCTCTATTTAAATACAAATTAAAAGTATTTTTTTACAAGATCGATTATCTGATTCATAATTTGACATTCCCATCCATTACCACGTGTTTGGTCAGGGAAGTTGAAAAATACAAAAAAGCTACCTTTGTTGTTGCCGACTGCCTTTGGATGAGATATTGAGATACGTATAAATGTATAGTAGTTAATATACTATAACAGTTTTTATGAAAATACATTAAACAGGACTTTGAATAGAACTAATCGGTAAAATATTGTATCATATACTTGATAATTATTAACAATGTAATTATTGTATATGATTGATTTTGTTTAGCTTTATGATTATTGATTATGAAACATATTTATTTTGTTAATTTGTTACCTACTTTAGTACCTATATACAATTGTTATATTTTATATGGACCATTATGTGTATTTACGGACTCAGTGAATATATTAATTTTAAATTGTCTACCGAAAGATATTAGTAGGTATATTACATTATTACAGTGTATAGGTACTGTCGGTAACTCGAACCTTGATAACTCGAAATTCTCGACATCTCAAACAAATAAAACTCCCCTTCAAATAACAATAACACATTAAGATTTTGAAATTTTTAGTAAGTAAGTCGAATTTTTTTGTCCCCCACAAGCACACTGTATAACCCTTTGAAAACTTTGATCATCGGATAAATGATAATCGTGGAGTTTTTTACGCTCAACACACTGATAGTGTTGATGACTGAAACACGACTGTCGAATGTCGATAATAGTATATCATATTTTGGGTACCTATATAAAATATCATAAATAACGTTAATTTTAAAGCCAAAACGACGTAAATGGTAGGTATGACTATAACCGTTTAAATTGGCACATACGCGTGAATTTACCATATTGTTTTAACACCATTCCATTTAATAATTACCCGATAAATGCCAATAACGCTGTTAAACCTTTGTAACGGACATCCGACAGCAGTAAAACTGGAAGTCAGTCGGAATTTCTAACAGTTTAGTTGTGTATCACAAATTTATAAGTCGTAAACTTATAAAATTATAACCGTACGACCTGTTTCATCGCAGATATGTTATTGGTAGGGTATAAAAAGAAAATTATTCAAGTCACAGTGGCTGCAGCAGGTCGACCCCGACCATTATATCCATATTATACCATATATTAGCATTATACAACATTTATGTAACCAACACGGTTTATTCTGGACCAAAACGCACAGCAGCCTACGACGAATTTGATGTTTTTGGGCGAATAACTCGGAAAACTAAAAGTTGATGACTTTTAAATCTGTTTTTAAAATAATGGAAACACGAGAGGGTAGATACCTCACTGGGCATTTAAAACGATTTTGGCATTTTTTTTGCTATTCGGAATAGTCAACTAGAAAAAATATTCATATTAATATATCACTATAATAGTATACATGGCTGGAAATACTCGTAAGTCGCTCATCGTTTATTTACATACTTATAATACGACACCACGTGGCACGTGTGCTACACCGCATTCATATTACATATTTACATATAATCAAAACACATATTACAGAATAATGACGACATATTAAAATTCCTATGTAGATGCATAAAAAAATTGCCATTTTTTATGTTATTTGTACGTGGTGGATAACATTTTTTTATTTGTTTTGACGATTTCGGGACGATCAGTGTTGATACTATAGTACGGGGGGGGGGGGTATTTTAATTTAATAAATTTAATCTTTTCTGTGGTAGGTATTGATATCAATAATCAGAATCACGGACATTTCCCCCCCCCCATTTTTTTTTTAAAGTTTACTATATAATAATATATAATATTATTATTTAATATAAATATATTTATACCTATTGTCTAATATTTTCATAAATACCTATAATAAATTATAGATGTATATTGTTAAATGTTCAAACTGGTACAGTTTTAACAAAAAATAAAAAAATTAATATGTACAAAAATATAAGTTAAGAAATAACAGAAGAATCAGAATTCAGATTTTTTTTCAAAATGTATCAATTTTTAACCATTTCTATTAATTATTAATTATATTTTATACCTACTTATTTTTTTAAATTTTTATTGGTTCTAGTAAGTAGTTCAGTTGATCAAATATATCCATTTATTATTTATAATCTATTATATTTCTGAAAATAAAAACTATTTTATATTTTATTTTAAAAAAAAAATTTCATATTAAATAATAATTAGTATTATATTATTAAATTCAATATCATTAGTCAATAATTAACTTGGGGAAAAAAATGGGGGGGGGAGATATGTCCATTTACCCAATAGAACTACTATAGAAAATTAGAAAACAGAATTAATATTCAATACACCTTGATTATTGGTTGCAGTTTTGCTTATAAATAATCAAATTTTTATATTAGGTATACACCAGTCAATGTATTATCACTGGTATTTATCACAGCTGTAGATTGTATATTATCAAAATATCAAGTATCAACAATAAAATTACAGCCCTAGTACAACAGTCATTACTCGATGCTCATTTGTTCATACTTTTAATGTATAGAAAGTAGAAACTAGAAACTAGAAGATGAGTACCTGCTGACCACGACGACTCGGAGTTATGTTCACTCATCCGAGGTCAATAAAGAAAAAACAATATTCTTTATAGATTTTTGACCTCCACAACTTCCACACTGATCGATGGACCGAAGACTTAAGAACGCCCTGTGCGCAGCGTCTGCTGGGGTTTGCGGTTCATCAGCCGGCTTGTTCGGCAAAATCGGAATGACTGTCGGCTCAAACGATCAAGTAAAATTGTTTATATCAAATCATATAGATCATATTATTATTATTGTATTAAACATACTGTATTATAATATTGTGAAGTAAAATGCACAACGAATCTACACCGTCAAAACTTTCTTTTAACTTACACACGGCATTGGGATTGATTACTAACGAGCGATGTAAAAATTTAAAACATTACGAATGCCAAATAATATTGTATTAATAAATAAAAACTAATATTTTATCATTCAATAATAATAATAATAATAATAATAAATATAACAAATTTGTTGAACTATTGCTAGCCCTGTGTTTGAAACCACTGTCCTAAAGAGTCAATGACGATAGCATCGACATTGGAAGCCCAGGTCCTAATAATCTGTTAATTTTTGTTTTTCTCTTACAGGCTTTGTACACAAATTTAGCCAGATTCGTCATGTTAGCAATGGTCGTGCTGGCCAACATTGGAGGTTGGCTAATGTATACCAGATCCCTACGATTTGGTTCCACGTTAGTATCCACTGGCATCAGCATCGCATCCAATTACATTTTCACCGTGAGTAACTATCGAATAGCCATTTGGACTTTTGCATGGCTTCCCCATATTTTGTTTTCAATATCATATTAAACCTATGCCATAGCCACTCAACGTTTTCATCAATTAATTTTTTTTTTTATATATATTGAACAAATATGGTTTGATTGACGGGAGGTGGAAGTCACCCAATGGCTGCACCCCGTGGAGATCAATAAATTTTATAGTTTTTATTTTGATAGGTAAAACAATGATATTTTGTCTCTGATTAATTATATCTACCTATGAAATTTCAAAATTGTTTTATGTTTTTGAAACTCTAAAAACTTGTAATTAATAACTAAATTATTTTAAATATTACATTCAAAATGAAAATGATTTTTTCTTTAAATTCTTACCATTAACATAAGTATTATGATTTTTTAGTATAACTATTTAAATATAAAACAATAGGTATATGTTTATATCAGCCAAAATTAATCTAAAAATGTATAATAATAATTTATATTTACTGGCAGAAAAAATAAATCAAGTCAAGTGGTTGTTAAATTGAGATGGCTCCTTAACAAGTTGACTGTCTTGTGTATCATGTGATACACATCAAACTTTAAATTATTATTGCTCTTCATATTTTACTTATACTTGCCAATTTCATCTTGAGTATCATAATATAAGATATTCAACAATTTTTCAATGGTATTTATTAATTTATCTAGAGAATTTTCCATGCCAGAAACTCTTATGAAAACCTGAGAATCATGATACTTAGCCCACGTTTATAAAACTACTGAGAAAATTATGACACTCGAGGCATTTGTAAGATTATTGAAACTGATATGGTAGTGAACTTGTTAAGTAGGTACCGAAAGTCCTAACTCCTTGTCTATATTCTATACCATACCATCAACTTATATACTTATTGTGCATTTAATCTTATACATTGTTCATGTCAAATAAAATGTATAATATATGTCTTGAATCAAATTCTTCAGATATGTAGAAAAGTTCAATATCACATTACTTATAATGTTATCTTTTTGTTGACTTTTGAAACATAATTCTAATTAAAACATATTTTAATTTAATACTTTTTTTATCGTTATTGTAAATGCTCTTTACTATATTTTGTATTTTATACTTTTATCACTTGCGTCCAATATTTAATAAATGAATAAACATTAGTTGATTGAACATTTTTATAATTTGCCTTTACTACCAACTCATTTTTATGTTGGCCATTAACAACTATTAAAATTATTAAAATTAAAATTTAGTATTTGATGCCCTTATTTTATAACAGTGTATATATTTCAGGCTCTAACTGGTGTACTATTGTTTGCTGAGAGCTGTTCAATTCTGTGGGCATGTGGCACACTTTCTGTCATGATTGGAGTTATACTGATGTCCATTTGAATGTTTTATAAATAAAAATATTTACTGATCTCATGTATATATAATTATTATTATTATTTAAATTAATGATCATGCATAGAAAAAAAAACAATAAGAGTAACATATTTTATTATTATTACTCAAAAAAAATGTGCTTATAATAATTCTATTTTTCTATTTTTGATAATTCAATAGAACTATTATTTAATAAATATATTAGATAAAAAAAATGGGTTAACCTATTATGATTTAATTTATACAATTGATATCTGTGTGTAATCGACCAGTAGTTATGTGATAATCTGGTCATAAAAACACGAGACTCGTGTTATTTTAAAACAAGATTAGGTATGGCATGTAATATTGCAAGAGCAAAAATACAATTTTTTTTTACTTAAAATCGATGTTGATTTTGTTTTTTCATATAATTATACATTTTTCAAAAATGAAAAATAATGTTAGAATAGTATGCACATGTAACACCAGTACATTATATTATTTATCTTATGAACTGTCCATCAAGTATAAAACCATAAATCAATATAACTTGTTAAAAAATTAGAATTCTCTGTCTATTAACTCTGCATAATGATTAATTTTTATGAATATTTTAAGTTCACACTTTCAAATGTTTTTTTTATCCCATTGGTCAAAAATGAATAAGTTGAATGTTGTCAATAATAAAATATACATTAAGATCCATTTAATTTATTTAGCTGATTTTCACAGTCAGTTTTTATGATTTTAAAGAAAAAAATATTGTAAAATAGAAGTTTAAAGTACTTGCAATGCTAAATTTTTGCAAACAAATTCAAATTAAATTCAATAATTAGTTTACAGTGCTATATGTTTTTGGTGCTTAACTACTGTTTTCTAATCTACAAATGTCCTACTTCAGATAAGATTAGTAGAACGATAAGTACCTACTTTGATAAATGTAAATATATAATATAAAAAAGACTCAATGTATATCATTTATTAGAGGAAAATAATTAAATAGAAATATGCAATACAGTTAGGTTCTTTGAGTTGTTGGATGTAAAAATAGTAAATACTGTTATTTTCCAAAAGTAGAAAAAACAAAAATTTGCACTAGCAATTCACTATACAATATGTAAACAACAATTAATTTAATTACTGCACTAAAGGATACAAGTTAACTAATACCATGAGAATGTATGATAAAAATATTTTTTAATGAATGCATTTGGATTTTTTAGGATAAATAAAACAAAACTTTTTCTTTGCTAAAAAAAATACTGTTATATTTTATGTTGTGAACTGGCACAAGACTCAAGTATTATAAAAAAATAACTGGCTAATATTGTTACCACATCACAGTCTCTTTGGAACAGATAACAGTTATAAACATTAATTAGCACTCCAATATATTATATAAAGTAACAATAATTATATTATAACATATCGGCGGACTACCTAATATTATATACTTTATCTTTCAAAAATTTAAAATGATTACAATACAAATGGATGCGAAAAATTAAACAACATAATTGTATGTAAATATAAATAATAAATTGTAATAACTGGACGGATACAATTAAATATAATTTAAAAAAAATGTTATCCAATATTTCTTAAACATAATATATGATAATAGTTATATTTTTATCATTTTTATTTTGCATTTTAAAAAAAAAATTAACTGTTTATATACACAACAAATTATATATAATATAACACACATATAATTGATAACATTTGTTGGAATATGTAGTGGAAAAAAAATTGGTAGACATTAATGAGGCGGCCACATAATAATATTATGTAAGTACGATGACAACAACAATAATTGAGATAATGTCTATTGAAAGACGCTGGTCTCCAACTTTACCAATCAATAGTATTAGGAACATTGTGTGTATGTGTATGTGTGAATATCTGTTATTATAATCAAATTATAACGATATTTCATAAATTTTGTTTGACTTCCAACAGTTCGGGATGGTTTTCAACAATGTTCAGTAGAATATTATCAATGTAAGCCCGTAACTGATCGTTCACCTCCTGTTGATCTTTCAAGGCGGTTTTCATCTGAAAACGATTAAAATCATCAGCAACATAACCCATATAGTATATTATTACATTATGTAAATAAGAAAATAAAAATGTACAACGTGCAGCCAAGACAGTTACTATTGTTACCATTTAATATGGTATGTTTACCATTATGGCCGTTTAAGCAACTTCAGGTGACATAAATAAAGAAAATATTGAATAAACACTAAAATAAAACATTAGTCTACACCAAAAAGTTTAAAAATTAATAAAAAATAAAGTTGTACGGTAATAAAATTATGTTCAATTTATTTACCCATTATGATTAAAATGTATTTTATAAAGTTTTATAGTAATGATATACTCATGAATAATGCATTTTGTTTATACAATAGTTATTAAGGGGCCTGCTCGCGATTTTTCAAATTTTCCGCAATTCTATAAAATTTGAAAATTAAATTTTATATTTTAGTTGCCACCTCAATTATAAGACTTTTCCACTAATCTACTACCCAATACCTATTTAGGGGGGGTTGATAGGGTGTATTATATCGGTCAAAACACAGTTTACAGGAAAAACTCTCACACCTCGTAGATTGGTCCGATTTCCGTATTTTTTTTTTGTTAGATAGAGGAATATTTTTTACAGGGCGCATTGGACTTCGATTTTTGATTACGTCGCTAAAAACAAAAAATAATACAAAAACTAAAAAGTTGTAAAAATTGATTAAATTCAAACTTGTAACATCAGACTTAGAAAAATAATTTTGAAAATCCAAGTCCAATGCGCCCTGTAAGAAGTCTTCCTCTATCTAACAAAAAAAAAAATTACGGAAATCGGACCAATCTACGAGGCGTGAGAGTTTTTCCTGTAAGGCATGTTTTTGAGCAAAAAAACAGGTCGCGTGCAGGCCCCTTAATTATTTTTGATATTTATGAATATATTGGAAATTATCAATTAATTTTCTAATATTACTATGAAATTATGGGACACCGGGGCTACATTGTGGTTGATTTAGCATTATATTATGTAGGTTGTAGGTACCTAGTTAAAATATATTAAACACAAGTGAAAATTGTTTTTTTTATTCCTATAATATTATTCTATTATAATGTAATAATAATTGAATCTTTTCCCAAATAAAATAATATAATATATTGATTTTTATTGGAAAAATTAAATTATATAACAATTCCCAACCCAACCAATAAACTATAAATATAAAAGTATTACTTTTATTGTCAATTAAATAAAATAATACCTGAATAATCAAAAAAATCATAAATTGTTAATCAATATTCATCAATTTTAGTACGCATGCAACAAAGCATACCTACACAAAACGTAATAAAATGTCAAGTGTGTTATATTAATTCCATGCAAAAGCGTTTGATAATATTGAATTGTTTGCAAATTCTTATCGCTTTTGAGTGTATGTGTTGTATATCTCGTGTATAAATTGTGTCGACACTCGATCATCGACATTCCTATGAATTTGAGTCAACACTATAAAAATGTTGTAATCGTTCATTCAGGCCACTCGACGACACGGCAAAATCAATGTAAGAAGGCACCGTGACAATATTATTGTTGTTTGTGTTCCTGCATAGCTACAGAGCTACTCGACGACGCGACGACACCGATGACATTGGGAGTTAACGACCGCGACTAGATTAAATCGTTTTCAACTGCTATTGTTAAACCCTCGGAGTACGTACAATGATATCATAATATCTATTAATCAATATTGCCCGATTCTATTTTCGCGGGATTTATAAATTACGATGTAATGTGTTATGTTGTGGTATAAAATTACCGGGTGCGGTTAGAAAAAAAAAAAAATTAAGAAAAAGCCAAACACTGTTAATTTGATCAAAAAAAAAAAAAAAAACATATTTTAGTAACCAAATTGAAATTACCTTGTTTATTTGCAAAGACGAGGGACTGTGCTGTGAAAAGGAGCAAAAAAAAAAAATTATATATAATATTACTTCAAGTGTGTTGTTACATCAACATTCTACATAATACTATTACCTATATTATAAGGTGTATCATAATATATTATATTATCATTTGTATTTTGCACGCGTGTGATATTATTTGCTCATATTATTTCTCTATTATGTGTACTACTTCTACTTACTTCTACTTATGACAAATTTTATTGACATAATTCGGGTTAATTGTATTATTCCGGTATTGTTTTTGTTTTTCTAACGGTTAAAAAAAATGTTATTTCTAAGCACGGGTACGCGAGATTATTAGACATTTAGACGAACGACACGTTAAAAAAATTTATTCCGAATATGAGTAACCATTAGTCGTGTATAATAACACAGAACTTACGTCATCGTGAGTCAGTCCGTCGAGTTCGGACGCGAGGCTGGGCGACTCCGTCAACAGCAGCCTGCCTCTCTCGATGCCTTTGGCTATGGAGGAAGCTTGTAACTCGTCGTAGGAGTCCTTCAATGCTGCCGAAAAAATAAAAATAAGACATTTGAAATACACTCACTTTAACTGCTATAGGGTGTATGTTAGGTTAGGATATATCGAGTGTTTTGCGATAAGAAAATCACCACGACACAAGTATACTACATATTAAAATCTTCATAGCAGTGGTTTTCCACATTTTTTTAAACCCGGCCAACTTCGCAAAATGTTCAGGGCACATATCTCGACAATGAACAAATTTTTCTTATTTAATTTTTTAGAACAAATTAGATAAATAAAATTGTATACTTTATTATACATTAATATAAAGAAGACGCTTCTTGTATTTCTCTTATAAGTGAGTTACATGGCAAATTTACGCTCAGGAGAACGCGTTTAGCTCCGTTAGTTTAACAATTAGGGTGAATCGATCCATTATGAAACTTGATGGTTAGTACATTATCTGTGTTTGTATGTGGGTTTTTTTACGATGGTCAATTTTTTAGTAAGTTGCGTATATAATATAGAGAAAATTAAAAATGCTCATATAATTCACCAAAAAATATTGTAAAAAAAACCACATACAAACACAGATAATGTTCTTACCATCAAGTTTCATAATAGGTCGATTTACTCTAATTTTTAAACTAACTGAGCTAAACGCGATCTGCTGAGCGTAAATTTGTTATGTTAAGGTCCCCACACACTGCAACGGTGGCGGTAAATTCTATTGTCTTGGCTTTACCGCCGAGGTGAGCGGTGAAATGTGTCCTGCAGCAATTCACCGCCACCGCTGCAGTGTACCTTTATGCACTTGTAAGACGGAGATAACAAATATCTGTGTAGCGTCTTCTTATAAGTAATTTATATTTTACGAATATAAAATCGATTAAAAACCACTACTTTATAGATTACACTTACATCGATTCTGATGTTTTAGCGAATCCAGCTGGGCCGTAAGCTCAGTAACATACGGCGAAGGCGAATTTAGTTCAGCGATCATGGCTTCCTTTTCAAGTCGAGATATTTCCAACTCTTTGGTCAGACCTTCGATGATCTATAAATATATATACGGCATACGTGTAATATAAGAAGCACAACCCCACAACGTACAAGCAATTCATTATATCAATACATAGTGTTGTCGTTATTATTGTTTTAATTATTATAAGCGGAGACGGCTTTATAAATTATATTGTTCTATACTGACCTCTTCGTTGTCCCTTTCTCTCTGTTTCAACTTCCTGAGTTCGGCCTCCAGCAGACGTATTTCATCTTTGAACGATTGAGCACCCACGTTGAGATCGCTTACACGTTGTTCCAGCGAAATCTTTTCGGTTCGCATCGTCTCTAACGCGGACCTGCACTTTTCTGCCTCTAATCGTAAATTCTCGTTAGCCGACTCGATACTTTGAAGTCTATGAACATTTATAAAATATAGTGTAAATTTATAACTAAAAAATATTGTAGGTACTATAGGTAAATGGCAAAAAAAAGTGTTAAAAAAAATATTCATACCTATACCATTAAAGAATACAATATTATATTGTACGATCAATAAATTAACTTTATACGAAAAGTACGCATATAACTTATACAGCATTTACTACTATGTTTAAAAAAAAATAATAAAGCTTTAAAATTGTTTCATTTATACGGCCTTAACCATTTCCTTATTATATGTAAGCAAAACAATATCCATTCTTAACTATCGTTAAAAAAAAGCAATTTCATTGATATTAAATAATAACGCCTACAAATTAAAAATGCCACGTCTTTCTATATAACAGCGTTTACTACTGCTGCAAAGGGTCATCCTTAAATTCGCTCATACTATTGCAATTTACAATATAATTATCAAAAGCGAATCATACTTAAATTTATTAAAATTAAATTATATCATATTCTAAAATAATTATACACTATACAGCTGATTACATAACATAATTAATATGATATGTGTAATTATAATTTGAAGTGACGTTATTAATTGTTATAAATCAATCAGAAATTATGAATATAACTTTTATGAGAATAATGATTTTTTATATATAACGATATATTTATCCTTATTATGGTAATAATTCATTACTATTAATTGATTTTATGAAACGTGACGTTATAATATAATACATTTAATTACATGACTAAGACATAACTTTTGGAACACTGGATGGATACTACGATGATATGGCGAGGCAAAAATGTAAACACGATGAAGCCAATTTATCGTTATAAATATAAAATGTAAGCCCATTTTAAGTATAAGTACCTAGCAAGAATGACATAGTATGTTGTATTTACCTTATGGCACAATTATCGATATGCAATTGTTTTTCCCTATCAACCCGGGTGACGAGCTCCCTGTGTCTGCGTTCTTCGGACGCAAGCCGCTCCTCGCACCTGAGTTCGGTGTCGCGGAGCTGCTCTTCAAGCATGTGGACGCGGGCTTGGAGAGCGGCGTTCTCCTCCTTGGTACGCGCGTACCGTTCGTCCGTCAGGTGTTGATTGTCGGTCAGGGAATTCATCTGTTTCTGCAACACTTGTACCTGCACATACACATACAAACACATTATAATTTATACGACGACATCGGTTAGTGTAATTATTGTTGTAGTAATTACTTTGAATACAACACGCGAGTATTTTTAATATATATTATAATATAGGTGGTTAAAACAAAGGCGCATCGGTGTGACAATATACCTACATATATTATATTACATACCTAATAAGTGCATACGCAAACATTACGCACGCGAGTGGTTATTATAAGTGTATAGGTAGGTATAGTAAAAAAAAAATATGTAAAAATAGTCATAAACGAAATTACTTTTTGCACGCCAAAAACATGCGAGTTTCGTGAAATTTTAGGCAATTTCAACACGTCGACTCCGATGGGGCCCGCGTCATAGGCGTTGCCCACAAATTCGAACTGTCCGTCCCACATGTCGAACTCAAGCTCGGAGCAACAGTTTTCTAAAATGTCAGCCTTGTTCTTCATGGACGATGACGACGAAGACGACGACGACATGACAAACAACATAACTTCTTAAGAAAGTGACTATGCGAGCGTGAGTATGAGACTACGGTGTGATACACTGCGGACGGCCTTTTGGCCGATTTTTAGAATAGAAGCCATTTCGCTTATCTGAATAATGAATATTGATAACGACAGCATCAATTAACTATATTATCGAACGCGAGCATGTATGTATGTGTGTGGTGTGTGGACTATTGGAGCGTTCGTCGAGATATGACGTGTTTTTTTTACTGAACTTTGATCACACTGCGTCGAGAGAATATGATGTGCACTCTAATAATAATATCGACGATGACTTATTCTGGCTCGGTGACAACAATTTTTTTTTCCCAAAAGTCGACTATGATTTCTTGATTCGTATATATTTTAAGTAGCTGCCCAAGCCTAGCCGCGTATATGCGCTTCAATGGACGGAATAATAATAACAATTATAATGAGACCGTAGTAAACAGACGATAAAAGTATGCTGTACCACACGCAGGCCCCCTACAACGGTGTTATTGTCGTTGATAAATATTTCGACACAATTTGCCCAACGATATAGCGAAAAAAAAAACGAGAGCGTACGCGAAAATGTTACCTCACTGACGACTACTATTATGCATTATGTACGACTATTCACTGACGACACACTCGCATACACAGACAGATAACAATATCGGGACCGGCAGCGCGCATACTGAACGATATTATTAAAAATAAAGACCTAATATAATAACTCTACATCGTCATATATATATATATGTGCAGTATTATATGTAGTATACACTCTAGTACTCTACTATGACATTATGTACAATTATTCGTTCGTTAAACGATGACGAGACGATGGGCTTTTATCATCTGCGACCACCACGTTGGTCCCCTACCCAATATGCACGTGTGGTTGCCATACTATATACTTATATACAGTTGAGTATAAGACTTGAAAACGTCCTATCACAAACTGTTGTCACTCATCGAATGCACCACTTTAATCACTTTATATTTTGCTACATAATATCCTATACAAATTACAACTACAATATTTTATAGTGTGTGCCAGTGCCGTAGAGAATTTTTTTTTTTTTGGCTTGTTTTATACCTATTATATTATATTATGTTTGATAAAAATTAAAAGTGAAGGTCTTCGAAAGCAAACCATTTTTAAGGGGTCGGATTTAGGAAATATTCTACATTCATCGTGACTATGGGTGTGAGTTAGTGTGTGTGAGTTCCCCGAACGCTTTATGTAATTAAAGATACACTATATGACTAAGATTTTTGGAAATGTACATACGCGCAGTCACACGTCACTATATTTTGGGACAAAAAATGTTCAACTTCCATGTGCCCCGAAATTCCCAAAAAGCGGAAGAAAAATTCACCCATCACCAAAAGCCCTATTTTAATTTTGAAAACATATTTGAATTCCTTAATCTTTTTTCTAGGTTGTGTAGGAAATGTATTTTTGATTTGTTGTATTTTTTAATTAGTATAGGTGGTAAAAATTAATTCACTTTTTTTAAGTATTGCAAAAAAAATGTGCATCCTACAAAATACAGACAAAAGCGGAGAAATTCTAATATTTTTTCAAAATTAAAATTGGACTTCTGGAAGTAAATATTTTTTTGCTTATTGATCTAAAATCTAAATGCAAGAAAAACGACTAGATTTCAACAGCCTTAATATAGTCTTGTATTTTGGTTGTAAATTTTAATAATATTCTAATAAAAAATTGAAAAGTTCTGTTCTACAACACATAATGATATAATGATATATAAATGAAGTATGAACACATTAACCTATGGTTTACAATAATATTAACAAATTGTTATATTAAATGTAGGTACCATAGCTGTTAACATAAATATATAGTCATAAAAAGAGTATATACACTGTATAAACAGAGGGGTCATAATTATATATTCTAGCATTGCAAAAACTAGAGAAACAAATTAAGTATGCTTATATGCCCACTTAGTGTGCATCACACTCGCGTAATCAACATGACTATACGACACGCATTCATTATTATTACGAGATAGTTAAAAGTTACAATCAATAGAAGCGCAACGATAAGCCACGAGTACGATTCTGCACAATCAAAAATACGGCGACATGAACGATAGGCAAAAACGCGTGCTATACAATAGCCACTCCGAAGACAAAATTAAATAAGATAAAATATTAAATATAAATACCTATATAAGATAAATACTTTTTATTTGTTTCAGTAATGCTAACTTTAATTTCATTTTTGTAGTTTAATTATTATTTATGATCTGTTTAAAAAGTCAATCACCACATTTTCTAAATTAAAAAAAAATAATATTATAATAATAATTATTTTTTGTGTGTGTGTGTGGGGGGGGGGAGTGGCCGAGCGGTCCCAAAAGGCGTCGGTGCCGCCAGCGCCGGTTCGATTCCTTGCAGGTCACGGGGAGCATTTTTCTTCGGGCAAGTCACGATGTCTGGAGAAGTGACGCCATCAGCCACCCGGGCATGGCAGATACCATTGGATTGGATTGGATTGGATGCCCAATCAAAAAAAACACTCACGTGTGAAAACCCACCACTTAAAAACCCTACCACCACCAAAATACAACCCTACTAACAGGTAATGGCCATAGATGCAGGGTTTAAGGATCAATAAAAAAAAATTATTTTTATTGCTTGTACCTATAGCTTATAAGACGTTATAACCTATAGATATAATAGAATTTAAATCATAGCCAAATATAAATTTAAATAAATAATAAACTAGACGAAAAAAGGGGGGGCATAATACATTTTATCGCTATAAATACGGAATTGGTTAACGGGTCAAAATAAAGTGTTATAAACGAATTGGTTCCCGATAATAATTACTTATCACTATAGTATTATACAACTGTTCCAATTACTTAAACGTACAAGTATTAAGATCTGATGACTGTGATTTTCCACCAAAATTATAGATGATATTTTCATCTTCTTCAGAACAAACAACATATTATATTATTGTTGCAAGTCGCTCAACGGACATTTTAATTTCACTCTCCCAATGGCCAATAGTATATTGAGTGCCATGTGGCAAGGGCGGGAAATGAGCTATTTCAGTCGCGAGCGTCGATGACGGGGCATGCAGACGAGAGCTGTAATTTTCCCAAGACTGAAATTGCCTTCCCACACATACTATGTTTTGTCACACCTCTGCCGCCTTCAAAAACGTCTTTTCGATATATTATCGATACCTAGATTCGTCAAACAGTTTCATATTATTGAACAGCCATTAATTTGGATTGGCCATTTTAGGCATACCGGGAAATTTAAAAAAGGCCGTCAGAGTCAAACGATACAAAAAGGGCCCATTGCCCAAATTCGGAGAGGCATGCCTACCTAACCTAACCTACCCGGTAGTCCAATCAATAATATATAAAATGTATTTATACTAATGTTATTACATTAGTATAAATGTATAATATATGTATACATCTATAATGATAACCTTATAGACGGTAACCTTTCGGACCGCTGTCAGAGTGAGTATTTCCACTTTACTGCCCACTGAATTCTGGGATTTAAAATTTATCGCACAAAGGTCATAACAAAATTAATATTTACTTTTTTTTTTATTATATATTAAATATTATTTACTGTCCACTGGACGAAAAGAGGTCATTTTCAAACGCTTCAATAAACCGGCATCAAAAATTAAGCTTTATAGGCACAGGTGTGACAAAAATATTTTTTCCATTAACTAAAAAATATACCTACCCGAACAGTAAATTTTTTTACTATTACATATTTTAAACTTAACTCAAGTATTTGGTAATTGACAGTGTAGACTATTATTACATATAGGTACCAATGTTATTATTAGTTGTACCTATTGAGTATTATCAAACAGCGTATTGCTTAGACTTGTATAATATGTACTATATTGATTAGCAAACTTGTGAAACTGTTGTAGGTTTAAAATGCAATAATTTTTCAAGCACGGTTAAATTAGTTAATTTTAACATTATTTTATTATTAAAATGAAAGTTTATAGTAGCCAATTCGTAAGTTACCTTTAACCCCCCAGGGAACCAATTCGTATGTATACCTTATATAGACTACCCGGGAACCAATTAGATAATTGGGAACCAACTCGAATAAATATAAATGATTGGTGTCCAAATAAATACGTAGGTAGCTAATGTTTATTGGGTACTAAATAGTAATAAATACAAATAAAACCAATTTGAGATTAAATCAAAAATACATTTTTGAAAACTAACACTTGAATTTAAACTAATAACGTATATTTTTCTTTAATTGGACTATTGTATACATACAAATAATTGATTTTCTGCTTGAGCAACATAATTTCAATATTGAATTAAAATGTTTTATTGATTCTAGGCCTAAGTGCTATTACTTTATTCCGTAATACGCAGTAGTCAAATTAGTTCACCTTGCAAATTGGTTATATTTTTAAGTAGAATTTAAAAATAACTCAAATTGGCAATCACTGTTGCTGTAGCTGTCAAATACTCAGAACGGGCGAATAACATTACAGGTAGGAACTATTCTACGACACGTACCTATATAAACAAAAATCGAGTACACTCGTTTCCTGTGGACAGCGAAGGAAATCGTTTACACGCCAGCAGCGCGCACAGGAATGCTGTTTAGTAGCCGTTATGGGATTTATCACGTATAAAATACGAATGTAGAAATAATAATGATACGTCTTGGTAGTAGAGGTGAGGTACTGAGGTATAATAATAATGATTACGCGATGGCAGCTATACCTATTATGGTCTTAGTGTCTTACCTTATTGTTGAGGTCGTGAACGTCTTCTTCGATGGACGTATCGGAATACACATCGTCGGGCGTATCGCAAATCGAACTGCGACCGGACGAATTGAAACTTGAGCTCCGATATAGATCACTGAAACACAACAACGACAATGATATTATTATCTAATAATATGTAGAAACGACGAAGACATTAATAATAAACGCCATTAAATATTTTACCTGGCGAGTGCGTTAGAACTGATCCTTTTGCCCGATCTGTGTGAAACAAATCACAAATATAATATTTTTTAATAATTATACTCAAATATTACACAATAATAATGATAATAAAAAAAATGTTAAAAAGTAAAAGTGGGCTGTAAACTACGCTTAATATGCATTTTTAAAAGACCATAACGCGTTTTCCTCAGAAATATCTATTCATTAGGATAATAATAGCTGTGGCAGCATCAACGGCGACGTCTATGCTGCAGATATGGAAAGCTACTTTCTATAAACATTACTTACTATAAGCACTGTTCTTAACACCACACACGCACTGCGCGTCTATTAATTATCATTACAACAAACGTTATCAAATTTTCAAAGACAAAAAAAAGAAGAAATGCATTCCTTCTAGATACACTGACGGTTTTACTCAGATTACGATCGGCAAATGTTGCAGTTATGCTCGCATTAACACGATATGTATGTTTTGCATGTAGTTTTATTTCACCATAATTACAATTTTTCGACTAATTGTATGCACTTTCCGAAAGCCTATACACAAAACTTAAGTGAATTAATTATTCTAAAACAACGTAGATATATTTTCACTGGGTATTTAAAAATAATTATCACTCCGTTTAATATAAGTGATAATCGAATAATTGTGTTTCAAAACAAGACTATAAAATAATATCTAATAAATGATACGTAAGAGGTTAACTAATTAGTAATTAGTGATAAATGTATAATTGAGAGTAATCTTTTTATCAATTAATTCTCAATATTGTTGCAAACGAATTCGACATAATCGTTAGTAAATGAATGTGTATTCTTTCACATCTAATATTTAAAACGGTTTAACTCCTATCTACCAATACGCAATCAAAATGTATATGCTTCCAAGGACAATGTGTAAAACATAAATTTATAATTTTTTTTTCACTGGCTCCTTCTACTTTTGAATAGTTTAATATATATATAGGGAAACTTACCGAGAAACTAAACAAAAAGAAAAACAGAGGTTTTCACTATACTCGTACGCGATGATAATTACATTTTCCTAGTACTCGGGAAATCATTCTTAAAAAATCATTGAAACTAGGTCGTTGTCCGTACGATAAGTATACAGAAAACGTACAGCAGTATTCACCCAACAATTTAATATATAGGTACTTATATGATCTGTACTTTAGAACAAACGAGTGAGCCATCAGTGCATTATAATTATATTGATATAAAATTAAAAATTAAAGAGCTAATCCAGAAAATAACATTATGTGTAAGATTTTAAGGATGTTTCTATTGTCACAAGGCAGACTAATATCTCGTGGACTCCGTTATTATATGCTATTATAATATACCATATATATATATACCCTTACTGGTATTTCTAGCATAATTGTCACTAAATTTCTTGACCATGACTAAACTATTACGACAACGATGACGCCCGTCGTGGGAATTTTTCGCAATTGTGAACCGGGATAAATTTACGTGAACGCCGAAACATTACAGCCGATAGGCGACAATAAAATTCACCATATGGAACGACTACGATGACTACTGTCTAAACGGTAAACCGCCTGTGATGAAGATAAAACATTCTTTTCGGATTTTTAAATCAATATCAAAAATGAACTGTAGCTTTGTTGAACGTATAGAATACAGATAATAATAATTACCGAAATAAAAACCAAGAAAAACGTGCAAGTTGGTAGGTAAATACATATTATGATAGCTATTACATACCTTCTCCACGAAGACCGATTATATTCCTGTTTCATGTCTCGTCTATATTATGCACTACACACACACTACACCGGCAAAGCATTTGTCATAGCATTTTGACGAAAATAATAAATATATATCATAATAGGCACACAGACATTTACTCGCACATACGATAAAGACGCGTTTTATCTATAGGCGACACACGACCGCTCGCCAGAGAGAAGTGATCAAACTCGTCGGCCGCCGCACTATACGTAGGTGAAATCACACACACTATGAAATCGTACTATATATTATTATATACACAAGTCACGCGTATGTGTGTGTGTGTATGCACTCGTCGAGTAGGGGTGTTGTGTACGTCAACTGTGTATGTCTGCCGAACACACAGTGGTGGTGTGCGTATAGGTAATAATATACTTAACGCTTATACCACGTAGTCGGTTACTACGGCTACCACTACCGGTCTCACAAGACGGGTTATATTATATTCTACAGTGGATAAGAACAGAGAACGGCCCCTCAACATTCCTTCCTATCGTTGCGTATTTTCGCCTTTCATTTTTTTTCAATGCACCACTGGGTCATACTCATAAAGTCATAACGCTCAGCGGATAATGTTATTATTATTATTATTTTACTATGCACACTCGAGCCGTACGATGGCGGCGTACACATGCGCGTAACCGCGAAAAATATCAAATTGTATTATACAGCTGGTACCAATGTACTAAATATTAAATACCAGCCTACCTGCCTAATATGTATATATAAATAGCATATTATTGTATTATATAGTATAGAGAGGGAATTCCAGTCACGGTGTACAACCGACTAGGATTCGTTGAACTCAAGGACACGTAGATATTTGGCGTAAACCACTCCGACAGTCCGACGGTGCAAAACGTAACGTGCCGAGAAAAAAACGAACAGCTTTATGTACTTACACGAATTTTGACCCTACGACGGAATTTCTATACTAAACATCCGTATACATACAAATATAAGCAGTAGGTTGCCTATTATTCACTATATGAGCAGCAGCAGATCACGCGAAAAGATAAAAAAAAAATTATTGCGTAATTCCAATTTTCGGTTTTTTCAACATAATATAATAATCGTTTGGAACATGACAAAACGTTTGTGCTGTATGTATAGAATTGTTTCCTATCTGTGAAAAAGTAAACAATCGACGCACCCGCAAAACCACGTTTACTTTCGCCAAATACGCCCACAAACGCAGCCGATTCAGGTTACCAGTTGGGTGTAAATATATTTATATATATGTAAATGATAAAAAAATATCACCCTCTTCCGCAAGATAGACAAGCAAATTTCAATAAAACCTCGTCGACTGTACAATACAAGGTACAATATACGAACGCTACCTATATTATGTTCGAATACACGAATACACGTTGCTTGAGTGCTCCGACAATTGCTGCAGTAGGTACAATATATTATGTAGTATAGTAGTAGATAGTAATAGTAGGTTAGTGAGCGTTGCACCCATTATAATACATAAATCTCTATAAATCATATTAATATATTATATATACGACTATAGGAGCAAGAGAAATGTAAATGTGCGGTTATTATAGATGTATATACAAACTCGCGATTTTATCGCACGAAATTTGAGCGTATAAAAAGTATAATATTATGCCTAACGTCGCCCCCGCGAATCGTGCATCGATGTGCACACATTGAAGACGCGAGTAATAACGTCATTGTAGCTAGAAAACTATAATAATGGTCTAGAGAGGAAATTATTACGTAACACATGTAGATGGTAAATATTAATCACTAGTATTGTCTCGATCTTTTGTGTGTGAATGTAACTATGACGACAGCGGTATACACACACAAAAATGGAAAAACGTTTGTTCGATCACGTGTTTAAAAAAGTAGGTGGACGGTGCATGGGACTAATTCCAAAACTAAAAAATATGTTTGTTATATTTTTAAAAGCGTTTTACATATTTAATATTCTATTATACGGAGATAAGCTTAAACGTAAAACGTTATACATATTATTTGGGAATGTAATCATTAATAAAAAATTTCTTTTAAAAAACACTTTTCTAAAAAAACAAAAAAATAATGAAAAATTTAAAAGTGTGTGGTATAATATGTCAAGTGTAAGAGCGCCACACACTTTTAAATTTTTCATTATTTTTTTGTTTTTTTAGAAAAGTGTTTTTTAAAAGAAATTTTTTAATTTTTAATTTTCTACTTTTTAGTTAAAAAATTTTTTTACGGATTATTGTATTGTCATCCAAGACCAAGGTCTATACCAATTTTCAGAATTTTTCATCTTCAAAAAGTGCCTCAAATCGAGCGCGCAAGATTTGATCACAGACGGACGTGAAACCAAACTTAAGAAAAGTGTTAAAAAAAAACGTATACCTTTATTTATGCTACAAGACTGAACAGTTGAGACATTTACCTATATAGACATATAGTATCCGTAAACCGCTAAAAACTAATTTCTACTCAACTGTCGTGGGTATGCAATAGTCGAAACCAATTACTTCAAAAACCAATAGATAAACAGAAACGACTAACAATTCTTCAAAAAATATTATTATAATAGGTACACTTATTCGCATGATCGAATTAGGGGTATCGAGTAAACATGACAAATCATAGAGTCCGCACGGATAATACGTATATAACCGGGAATAATACTAAATACACACGAAGCCAACTATGGACAAATCATATAATAATGACCTATTTCAGGTGCCACGATTTCGAATACATCATTGAGTTAAATATATATTTATAGACAATAGTTCTTTTGTGTCAAACGACAAACCCACATGCAATTATACAAATAATCTACAGTACCGAATAAGGACCCACTGGTGGATTTTCAACGTAGAGGTCATACTACTCATACTTCTACTACTATATAAATAAATAAAACGACTCTCACCTTTCTCTCATATAATAAGTAATCTGTACCTATCTGCAGCCGCGATCAAAATTAATTTTAATAAGTATTAAACATTTAAGCTACTTAATTTTGATGTTCATTAAATAGACAAGTATATGAAAAGAAATGCGTGGTATATCGTTTAATAAACCATTTTAAATACGAAGAAAAATGTCAAAAGAAAAAACACCGCCCTAATCATATTATTGGGTTTTTACCTAACACGAAAATATATATAATACAATTATATTTGTTGGCACGATTTTTGTTCAAGACTTAAAAAATGGAAGTACAGTCACGGAATGTCTAGGTCTGTCAAAATTAAATGTTTGTACCGATTTTAATCATTAAAAGTTTTAGTGCGTGCGTGCGTAAGTGATTAACTACCTCCACGGTCGATAGAGTATATATATTATACTATGTAATAAGTTGAAAAACAATGTTAAGTACTTACGAATGTCTCATCGAACCCCATTTACGGTTTGGCAGAATTTCAGCGCTAAAATTTTTTTAAAAAAAGAGGCGATTAACAGGGGATATTTTACTTATAATATACATTGTTCACGTGGCGTAAATAAGCCACAACTGAAGTAATTTAAGTTTGACGATAATTAATTTATATACCTATTTCCGTTTGCCGTCCTCCTCAAACTTGTTCTGAGCCACGTATTCCTCTTTAGTCCCAAAGCGTTGGTGATTGGATTTTCGACGCCACTGAAACGAAAAAAAATCATGATACCAAGTATACCAACGCCATGTTATATAAGCAAATAATTTAAAATTTTGAAGTAATTGTTGTATTTTTTATAAGGATTAATAAGGAATAAACAAACTTTGTGATCACGTTGTTGACAGGCAAAGAATTCTCCATGTCGCCTTCACCGTAACATTCGTAACTCTCTTCGTCTGACATGCTCGAAAACTGGCTGTATCAAAGGAAAACATTTTAATTTAAATTTCGTTTTGATATATTTCATTATTTCATACAATTTAACACACCTGTTATTCGTAGAATTTGAGTCCGTGTTCCCGCCGTGTACGGCAGTGTCTTCTATGTTGAGTTTGAACGCGGGCGAGTCACCTTTGTTATTGTTATTGACGATATTTTCATCTTCTTGTATTTTGGGCGCCATCATCCTAGCCGAAACCTACAAACAGACGTATACACTCATACAGAAAACTAACAATGTAATACCATTATATCGACATTTATACAAATGTATTAAAAACCGATCGGGACTCGAAACAATGCATAATGAATGGTCGTCGTGATAACATGACATTACATCATTAATTGTATAAGTAATATTTGTAATAAATAATAATAGCTTCTTCGAAACGTCACTAATGCGTGTAAATCATGTAAGAGAATTCAAAATGTATATAATATTGTTTTCCAATACCTGCGATCGTACCATAGTCATAACGCTTTTGCGGGCAACCTTCAAGATCAGTTCGCCTACGTCGCACAAGATTATATGCACAATTTTATGTATGATATTATATTATAATTTATTGAACTATGCAGTAAAACGCGTAAACTAAACTGAACTCGTTCGCGTAGGATAAATCGACACACACTAAACACCCGGACGAACGCCCACACCCTTATATATACATGGATACGGATAGGTGTGGTAAGGCTCCGATGAGGGGGTTGTAATTTTTTTTCTTCGGAAAGGTGATAGGCACGTGTCCCGGAGGACAGATGTAGGTAGGTGTACCTATATATAGAAGCACCCGTCAATAAAGCGGAACATGCTGTATATATTGTGTCGCTGCACACGTTTGTCGTTAGGTATATATCATATATTATGTTATTATATTATACATGAATACGGCGAAGTTTAGGCCAAAAAACAAGAGGAAACTACGATGCCCTAAGTATATAATATACTCCCTCTTTTGCAGCTGCGTCGCTCAAGACGACGTGTGTGTTTAGATACGGCACGTTCCCCGCTGCTGTTTCCGATCAGGAAACGTGTGTGGCGTTGAGCGCATAGGGTTGTTAGACGCGTTTCCGTTTCTTTTGTTTTTTCTGCAACCCATTTAGTCAAAAAACTCGAAACCCTGAGTAGTATTGAATTAAAAGAACTGTCACGGACATTGCCAAAAACGATTTATCGGCTTGAATTTACACTCACTTATTTAAATATCTACTATCTAGTCAAAACGACGGATAATTTTTTATATGGGTCAGTTAGTTTTTAATTTTTTATTGAATTTATAACTACTTATTCAACAAATTACTTAAGCGACTGTAATATTATAATATAATTACGGTAATATTAATTAAATTATTTGAAATCTGCTCATTAAAAAAGTGAAATATGTAGGTACGGACCGTGGTTATGATTTATCAATTTAACATTTACATAAAATTCACACGGACAATTATTAATATAGGTACTTAACAAATTTTGCTGAAAAACAATAAAATTAATTATATACCTATTTATAATTGAGAAATGTTGTTTATATAGGATAAGGTTTTAGACGAATTTCGGAATAATATAATATTATTATTATATGTTGTCAGTACAGTAATATACTAAGCTTATTTTCTAATACGCTTATACGCACTACCTATACGTATATAATAAATACATATCTTTGCATTTTACTGACTCTTTTTTACATATAGTTATCAAGAATTAAAATTATTTTGAACAATCAATGAAAAATTAAAACATATTTAAACTGTTGTAATTTCTTCTAAATTAATAAACTGCATAAACAAACATAAGGGCAGGCATTCGTATTTTCTCAGGAATTTGAATATTTTTTTAACTGGAAACGTAAAATTATAAAATAATAAATGAGAAAAGCAATTTATCTACATTTTCTAAAGCCGGTGATGCAACTAGGGGACCACCGCATAGGCGCAATTAGGGTTAAAAATCTGAGAGCTACCACCTACATAGTCTATAGGGGGCTTACATCTAAATCAATAAGGGATATTTGGTGGGGCTTAGCCCCCTTGACTACGATTTAGCCCTTCCCCAATATTCCTTATTGATTTAGATATAAGCAACCTTTAGGATATGTGGGCTGTAGCCCCCCCCCAGAATTTTAACCCTAGTTGCACCTCTAAACTGTAGGTATATCTAAATACGTACTGCAAAGAATATAAAATATATTACATTTATACTCATTATTATATTTTATTAGGTAGATATGAAAGATTTTTAACTTACATAGTCAATGTTTAATGACCATCATAATGAGAATAATTGGTCATCCTGTAGAAGAATTTGTTGTATTCAATTAATAGTTATATAGAATGTCTGATTTACTGATTTGATTTATCAACTATATATTTTATACATAATAAAAATTAAATTCTGATATTTCGTATCATATATTCATATAAATGGGTAAATTGTTTCTGGTTTCATAAAGAAGTATATGGTAAGATAAACATGTACCTATAAGTTATATTTTATTTTAATTTATACAAAATTACATACAAAATTGAATAATTATGTAGACTGTATAATTTTTTTTCGGAAAAGAACCTACATTGAATAATTCAAATTCGTCATTATTAATTTTCTTGCAGTAATTTTTATAAAACAAAACAATAATATTTTGAAATAAAAAAAAAACAAAAAATAAGTACCTATCTTTTATACGCTAAAGAATGTCATACTATAAACTTAAAATGTGTTCCATAATCAAGATTAATAATGTAAACAAAAACATCTAAGTGCAATACAAAATTATAAAATATTAATTTATCTATTCACAATATTTTCTTGAAAGTGATAATGAATTTATCCAAGACAAATACATTCTAATATAAAATATCGGCAAAATGTGATTATTACTTATTAATAAATTAAAAGCATTAATTATATTATTATATTATAAAAAAGGCGATATTAATTTAATTTATAAACTGTATACAAAATCATAAAATAATGCAAAAGTATTAAATACCTATGTCCTATATAGATACGTCAAATCCAACTAGAATATTTTGTACAATGTTGAATGTGATACACGATACCAAATCATTGACTAAGACACTTGAGTAATTTATTGTATTATAATTATATAGAATTTGTATATGTATATTTATTATATTAGATAAAAATTTAATAAAAATACAAACATAAAAATAAAATATATAAGAGTTCTGTTGTAATTCCACCCCACACATAAGATAACATAGTTCTATAATATTCGATTCTACTATTTTGGATGACGACTAAGCATAACAACGACAAAACCAAGTCGATATTTCATGAATAGGCGAATCGGACATAATATTTCCGAATATGTAGTTTTAATTATTAACGAACAAAGAGTAGACAAAATTACTATTATTTGTGGTATAATGAAAATATGAATATTATCAAAGCACATAATTTATATCATATAAGTATATAACATATAAACGAACGACCTTATACAATATAATATATTACAGCGGCAACAACGCCAACTATACTAACTATAGTAGCTATTCATAATATTTTTCAACGCGTTAAACAAGGACAATATTGTATTATGCTATTGAGTATCTACTGATATTTTCCTGGATCCACACACATGAATGTGTAATTTTCTTTTGCGTTTTAGATACATTAAAATAAAACGTGAGATTCAAGGAGAAAAAAAATCATGTTTTCCAGATAAAACGAGTAAGTATTCTGGCCAGATGGCACTTGTATACAAATACTATATGTCTGGCTTTAGGTTTAGTTACGAGTGGTAGTGTAGTAACGTTATTTATTACGGTTTTTAAAAGAATATCAGACGACATGGAAAACAAAATATGACGGTCTATAGCACTTAAATAATAAAGTCAAGATTATATTTTTAATATATGGAGTTGAAGCAAGCATATGACGGGTCAAAGCAATATTAAAGAGTCTCTCTATTGTCACGATCCATTAATCCCGTCATTTATAAACTCATTAAAATGCGACGAAGGTTAGTATAGTTGTTACACAGTGTAACTTTTTCAGTTTCAAAGTCTCGTCCCAGTAGCACAATTTTATTATATAGGTACCTAGTAAACAATATTATTCTCTCTACCCGCAATGGCCCTGGTTAACACGCTAAACCACCGTTAGCCTAAAAAACATACACAGTATGAAGCAATTGATGGTGGTATAGTTGCTTCACTGAGATACGGTCTAACGAATATAAACCGTGTGGTTTTATTATAGACCTATTATATATGTATAATTAACGCACGAAATATCGGTTTCTATATATATATAATATAATATAAATATAAAATGAGAGTTACCGCGGCTCGCGAGTAAATAAGTATTTGGGATTCAATGAAAAACACGAACATATGTCGTATAATCGTTTGTGTGTGACTATAAACGTTTTTATTATCATTAAAATTTGCAAAGGCACCTTGGAAGCAGTTATTTGAATTTAATTTAGTATTATACAAGGTATTATACTATACATTTTTAAATTTAATTTTACTATTTTTGTACTTTTTTCTGCAACCTGATAAATTGTATGAAATATATTCATATACATATCAATATAATAACCTTAAATTATTCAAGAAAACCAATGAAACTTCAATAAATTTACGATTTACAACACTATTATCTCGGCGTTAGTTAATATTTAATTCCGATTAAATAAGGGTTATTTACATAATCAAATTACTAGATTTAAAATGTCAATTCGAGTATACCTACGTTATGAACGATGGCGGGTAATTAGTAAAACGTTAATAATATACATATTATAAATTATAATAATTATCATCTGCAGTATTCTGAATAAGCCGATATTATTCTGTAGCGTACTCGTCATTTTCATTATTCGTTTGACAACAGACAGATGTCGATGGTAATTTTTTATTTAGCATTTAGCAATGAAAAAAATACCATATGGTCAAAATAAAACAGTTATTAATAACTACACAAATAAGTTATAACAAAACTATGTAAAACCTATAGAAAAAACAAATCTAATAGGTAATAACGTCGTAAAATGTAATATTACCATAATTAAACATCTAAGTATAGTAAAGCTTTCACAATAATTATTAACAAATTTCAACGCCGATGTAGATTAAATTTCTTAGTTCTTATAATCTTATTATAAGATCAGTGGTAATTCGACGATATTAATAAGAACCTATATAATATAATATTCCACAACTCAAAACTCATTCCGTTAAACGTTTTATTCAATAATAAACAACTCAATACACTTATCAATACAGCGCAGAAAATCGTTAAAATAATGTGTTTACTGTTTAGAATGAAGATGAAAACATTGGTAATGCATATTATTTACACTTCCTCGGTTTGCGAATTTATAAATATATTAAACGAACGTGTTTAATTGCATACTACAATAATAGACTATTTAGGAACTGGCCATGGTATTAAAAAAATAAAACTAAAGATGCATGTCAAATGTGTTTTGTATAGTTTCCTCATTTTCAGGTTAACGCCGTAGAAGGTCGTTGAGATTGACTTGCATTTTTTTCGTCGTCATTTGTATTTTGTTGTTGAATATTATCAACAAGTCCTATACTGTGTAGGTTTAGTTTCCTTTGTCGTTGTTAAGTATGCAAATCGAAAAAAACTAATTGAATATTGTTTGAAATAAGTATAAACACAGTTTTCCGCATTGCTAGCAGATCGAGATATTTTTTCTCCAAAATTAACGAATTTTTTTAAATTATATTGATTGTAAGTATTGTGGTCTGTCGACTGTGTTACATTATAATATTCCTTAATATTGTGCAGATTCTATTTCGTGATTCATGCATTATGAATAATTCACAAATTGTTCTACTTTTTGTTTTTAATTCGAGATTATTAAGACTATTATGAGAAAAAACTTAAGCATCAAGATAACACAATATAAAATAATGAGGTCGTACAATCTCAAACCTATTAGAGTTGTGAAAAATTAATGTTAAATTGTTAAACTGCCGACTCTCCCCGTTATACTTTAATTTATTACTTTTATAGTTATAATATGTTATAATAATAACTAATATTAGGTATACAGTATACACATTCTACTGCAATACTATATAATACTATATATTCTACAGTAATACTCGCCAAATAAATAGTCAAAAACATTTCCTCGATAATTATTGTGGTAGACAATATTTTTTGTCCATATTATTGATATATTACTTCAACATAGAAATATGAGATTTTTCTTATACAATTTTTTACTGATCATTGTATTCATTGTAAGTAGATTATAGTATATTATTGTTGCAAATATATATTATTATCATTGGATAGTTCATTTTAATCAATGGAGTAATATTATATGACACATGCATCTATCCTTACAATTTTTTGTTCAACGAAAATCCATAGTAATATTTGGTGTTAAACGAATTATTGAACACCCTTTAATGAAATACCAAGTATGGTGTCAAAGAGAAATAGTAAATACTTAGAAAATTAATGTAAATTACGGAAGAACGAATAGGTCTATTACTTATATAAAACGTAAATAAATAATACAATATAAATTACCTATATATTATATTTATAATAGATCGTTTATTATGTTATATAATACACTGCTATAGCTGGCTGTTGAACTCGAGGTTAACTTGCGAGAATTTATTGGGATGGAAAAAAATGCTCAGATTTGGTAGGTTTCCTAGAATACAGGTTCTTTTTGGTTCTTTTTTACAGGTTTCCGTTTTAAGGGGATTAGAAGCGGTGATTTTCTGTTTTTCAGAGACAAATTAGGTATAGCTAAATTGGAATTTAGACGTTTTCTATTTTTAACGTGCCAATCGTGAAGCGAGAAAAACTCTAAACACAAATTTGAATTTGTCGTAAAGCTTAAATGAGATCGATTTTTATACATATTTGATTTATTATAGATTTCAGCTTCATCAAAAATTGAAATTTTCATTCAAGTATGTTGATTTTTTTTAATTCGACTTTTTATGACATAAGCGGGTAAAATCAAAAATGTAAAGAAATCGATCTCTTGCAGACATGCAGACATAATGAAAAATGTTAATGTTCTGAGTTCTTATTGCATTTATAGATTAATCCGTATGTTAGAAATAGAACACACTAAATCACCGCTTCCAAAGTTTTCTTGACAACAAGATAAGTATGAACAATTTCAGGTAAACTGTAAAGTATATGTTCACATATTTCAAGTAAGTACTTGAAAAATAATTATTCTACTTCTACCTACACATTTTCAAATGTTTGATGTACTACCTATAAATCCAATTCTCCTGCATAAACCATAAAATATAAATTATAATTTTTGAAATGAATTGTTTTTAAAGTGTAATTAAAACCATTCATATTAGGTATAATAGTATATGATCATTTTACATTTTACATAAATGAAATATATATTTTTCATTCATAGTACCTATTTTCAAATGTAATCAAATACCTAACAACATTTTAAGAACATTTTTTCTAAAAAATATTATTTCAATAGATAATGACAGTTGTACATTGACATTCTTTATTTATTATTAATTGTTATCATTTAAACATTTTCAACAATGGGTAAAACTATTTGTCAATAAATAGTTTAGTCTATAACGAAAAAAAATATGCATAGAAATATTAAAACATTTATTAAATAGTAAATACCGAGGTAAATACCTATATTAGTACTTATAGTTTGTATATTTTAGTGTTAATCGAGGTATTAATACAATAAAGTGTTCTTTATTTGATTTTTAAACTTCACAACAAATTAAATGTTCTAATAATAACTAACAATGACTTATATATTTTATTATAAAAAAGTGGTCAGTACATATTTAATTATTAAAAAAATGAATTACCTATACACAAATATTTCTTAGATATTGTATATCTTTATCATATAAAATAATAACATTAATAATTAAATTGAAATGCTCCTACCAGAACTGATGAATTGTAATCACCATTGTACTCCTTATTCCTTACACCCACATAAATTATTATTTTAATAAAAAATCACAGAACTCATGAAACTAAACTTTTTGATTATGTAAAGGTAATTAAGTATAAACTACAATACAGTCATGTTAAAAAAGATTGAACAGGGCAACATTGTTATCAATTTTAGATTAATTGAACAATAAAAAAAATAAATTAGTATGTTATTTGATGTGTTAACGGTCAAAAGATTATCAGAACCTTTATAATTGAAAGTCAAAAAAATTATTTAATTAAAAGACAGTAAAAGATAAAAGCTAAAATAATCTTCTGACTGTGTGAACACTATAATACATTACTGTAAGACACGCTCAATTCAAACAAAAACTTTAGTTATGATTGTCATGCTGCAGACAGTAGACTTAGTAACAACATAGAAAAATTGGATTGGTCCAAAACTGATTGGATTAAATAATTAAGGTGTTGGTGTAATTAGATTATACTGTACATAAATTATTATAACTAGGTTAATCAATATTAACCTAACGTAATATTTAAATATCACCAACCTTTGACTGTCCTGTGAGTGTATGTTGTGATATTATGTATTCGATGTGTAAGTGTTCACAGAATCTTCATCACATAACTATGGCAGGGATGTCCATATGTTGTGTGACGCCAAACATCATTGCACGATTTGAACATTTAAAAAAAAAAAATTATAATATACACATAACGAATCACAAGTGACTTGGAAGTCGCTGACAGGGCTGAATAATAGTTGACAACCCCCAGGGGGACTGATGAAATATTATATGGTTGCAGATAACAGTGTACAGAAGCCAGAACCCGACTCACACTTAACCGATGTGAGATAATACTATGTACACGGGAACGTTGTGGGCGGGTGCCGTCGACACCGCAGTTGTGAACAAACTGATGTGTTCATTTTTCGATGACAAAATAATTTTAAATAATATGTATTTAAAAAAAAAAAAACTTATTGTTGTAAAATTAAAAAAAAAACAATTGCACTGCGAGCGGAGTCACTGCTGCTGCTGCTGCTGCTACGGCGGCGGCGGCGGCGGCAGTGTGGCAATGATATTTCACCTCACCTGTACAGAGGTACCTCACTACACCGCAGTGTACCTGTGTTACCTGTAATAATCTATTCACCTGTAATTTGCGTTGTTTTTTTTTTTGTTGTTGTTGTTATTTACACCCATCCACCAATCTGACAGTGCGTGCGGCCCAGACGACTCGAATTATTTGCCATCGAACGAAACTGTTGCCGGAAGTCTGTGCCGGGAGGACGGCGAAGTCCGTATAATTGTAGTAGTAGTTGTTCCATAGATCGGAATGTTATCGTATCCGTATCGATACGGCTTCGGTTGAAACGACGTCTCGGACGTCTCCGTCGCGTTTGCAAAACAATAAAGCGAGTGAGGGGATTCGGATGGGTATGGCATGGCCCAGGTAGTTAATACTACAAAATTCAAAATATAATCCAGTATCTCGATGGGCTTGATATTTTACACGGACTACGACACTAAAGAATAAAGACATTATTATCTTTAATCGTGCCTGGTTTGTTGTTTTCCGCGCGACGGGCACTGTGTGTTATCAGAGTCAGAATATTTGACTGATAAACGAACTGCCGCCCACCGCCGGACGATAAGTAAATTATGTTCGCAAAATATTGTTTTTTTTACGTTTTTTAGTACTAAATATTAGTTTTTAATTTTTGTATTGTTTCCTTAGACGGTTTCTTTGAGACTCTCTGCAAATTCGACATCGATTTATGTCGGCTGTCGTTCCGTCCACGTCATCCAAGTAAGTGTTCGCGATGAGCGATTTTACGCCAATACACTTTAATCTTATTGACGACCCTGTAATTTCGGTTTATGTATGTTTGATTTTATACATATTTGTCAAAATTTACAATATTTTCTTTCATTTACAACATTCACAATTGATTTTACTGATTAAACCTTATTTTTTTTTCAAATTTGATAATGATTTGAACCGATACATTGAAACTTAACACAGTTCAATGTGATGGTCAAAAAAAATATATGATATAGAGATAAGTACGTCATTTAGTATTGTCTGATTGTTTGAATATTGCAATATTTGTAAACTATAAGAATATTACCTATCTATCTACTTGCACTTCAAAATCTGAATTTAATATTTTAATAAATTGTTTAATTGTAAATACCAATATCAATACTTACGCAATACGTGCAATATTAAAAAATAGCTTTGTCAATATACATGTATATGACAGGTCGGTACCAAATATCATTTCACAGTATAAACTAAAAATTTTAAATAAATACTATTGAAACTTAGAACAGAATATTTTTAAGTAAACAATTCAAAAAATTACCTATACCTATGTATTTTAATGTTCTACAAATTGTTAAATACCTACATAAACCAATATTATAAATTTTAGCTTATCTAATCATTTATTATGATATGGTTTTATTAGTTATCACTGCAGTTGACCATTGTTAAACGTATTCCATTTTTCATACTACTTTAAAGACCCGCGTTGACTATAGTAGTATAACTTAGATCTTAAATAAGAGATTGTCTGTATAAAAAACAAATAATGAATTGATAATATAATGAACTAATGAAGAACTTTTTATTCTTAGGACAATGGACGGAGACAGTGATAGATCTATATCTTATGAAGAAAAGTTATTAGCCAAGGAAAATATAGAACTGATATTAGGAAACGATGTCAAAGAGGAATCTTTGGATAAAAATGGAATGTTCCGTAACATTTTTAAATGTCTACGCTGTGAACTAACTTTTGAGAATGAACAGCAATTACATAATTGTGTAGCATTGCCTCTTAACATAAATAAACAAAAGAAATTAAAGCGAGTGTTCAAATGTTCACTATGTGATAAACATTATCTCTTTCCATCGTTAGCCATGCTCCATTTGAAACGTCATCAGAAATACTTGGAAAGAAAAATAGAGAACACATGTGATGTTTGCTTTGCCAAATTTGAATCTGTTAAAGAACTAAAAGACCACTTTGAGGTGAAACACAATATTATTCAATTTCAATGTAATATTTGTGATAAATTATTCAAACAAGCCAGAAATTTACAATATCATATGATGAGTCACTCAGGAGACAAACCATTTCAGTGCGAGTTGTGTGGACACAAGTTTACTAGGGCCGATCATTTAGTCAGACATCGGAGAGATAATTGTGATCAAATGGAATTTGAATGTGACTTATGTGGAAAAATTTACAATACTAAAAGAGGTACTGTATAATAATTAATTTTATTTATTTATGTTAAATGGATGAAAGTTTAATTATTGTTATCATGATTATTATTTTCAGGTATAAGAACGCATTTGAAAGTGCACTATGACAGTCCGAAACCTGGTGCCATATGGGCATTATATACAGAATCTGGACAAAAATATTATCAGTGCACATTATGTAGTAAAACGTTTACTCAATTTTCTAGATTCAAGGAACACGTACGAACTCATACTGGAGATAAACCTTTTGAATGTCAAATTTGTAATAAAAGGTTTACTTGCCATTATAAACTTAAAATGCATGGTGATGTACATACAAATGATAGACCCTTCAAATGCAATTATTGTGAGCTCAGTTTCAAAAATCGAAGATACCTTAATAAGCACATGCGCAAACATGATGGAATCAAAAAATATCAATGCAGAATTTGTAATAAAGAGTTTCAATGGTACAATAGTCTGAAATATCATATGTCCTCACACTCTGGTGATAAACCATATGTATGTATTGAATGCAACAAGTCTTACTCACATCTTAGTACATTAGTAGCTCACCAGCGGACTCATAGCGGTGAAAAAAATTACGAATGTCAAATTTGCAATAAAAGATTTAGTCATTCGAACACATTAAAAAATCACATTATCACTCATAGTGAAGATAAGCCGTTCAAGTGTCATCTGTGTCCAGCTCAGGTAAAATTTACATAACTTAAATACGTAATAATATCAATTAATTTATACTTGATTCTTACAGGTTTCTACATGTGCATCGCTGAAAATTCACTTGAATACGCATGGTGGAGATTATCAATGTAGTGTTTGCGGCAGTACTTTTTTCCAATTATCTAATCTGAGGTATCATGAAAGTAAGGTTCATGGCAAAACAAATTTTTATGACTGTGAAGTTTGTGAAGAAAAATTCACTTCAAAATCACAAATGAACGAGCATTTAAGACATGATCATCACATTCAGTTCACAAAAACTGTTACTGTATATGATATTGATTTAATAGAAGGTCTCTATAAAGATTGATAATATTGTATCAATGTAATAATTTATTTTATAAATATAAAAAGTATTTAAAAAAATGTTGACGGCTAATATGTATTAGCAATGATATTTTTAAAAGTTATATTATTTCACATTATTTAGTTAAAATAGAAAGTCGATCATTATACCTTTTGTCAGGGTTGGTTTGATGGCGGTGTAGTTGCATAGTCCCTTACATATTTAAATTTTCTGTGCCCGGCCTGAAAACTTAACTATTGGGCATTCATGGCTGATCGACACATAGTTACACTCTTGGTACGTAGTCAATTTTTTATAATGAATTAGTTTAACTATTATTATGCAATGTCAGTTTTATTAACTATTTGATTATTATTTATTTCTAGTATGAATTGGTTCTTGATTGTCTTAAATAAATTGTCATCCAGTCAACCAGATCCATTGATTTACATAAAATTGCAGTCCCATCCAGTGGCTTGGCGAAGGATATTTTTTGGGGCAACCGCCCCTAGTAAAATTTTAGGTCACCCAGTGGTGATATTGAATAGGTATGAACACTAAGAACAGTAAGAACACCATGAACAAAATATATATGTAATTGGGTACCTATAAATCTATAACTAAGTACCAAAAAAATGTATTCGCCCCTACATAAAAATCTTGTCGCCACGCCACTGTTCCCACCAATAAAGTACCATCTAAACATGCTACTAAATAAGCCTTTTAAAAATATTTTGCACATATACCCGATAATTACCAAGCTGGTTCTTTGATTTAATTGTTTTTCAAAATGTATATAATGTTATACCAAATGAAGGATTTTTTCCAATAATTAAAATTGTTGTACTTAATTGGTTTTCCATAATTGTAATTTGTAACTGTTTAGGCACAATTCACTAAAATAACTAACGTATAATTCAAAATTTATAGTCCCAGAATTGGGGCTCCAGTCAGTCGTTTTTTAAGGAAATTAATATAGGCAATTTAACATGATGACATTAAAATGACTGTAAATATGTGCAAAGTAAATTAACATTAGTATGTTTGAATTTAATCCGTAATCGGCGTAATCATTTTCTGTCAATATTTCCTAGAAATGTCCTGAATTATAACAGTAGGCCCACATATACCTCTCGGTAAATCAGTCGTTTTTTATATTTGTTGGCAATTGACTTACGTATGCGCAGACATTGAAATTATAAACTATAATATAAATTATAATTTTTAATAAAAAAGTTGGTGTATTCTACTGCTGGTGTATAATTAATTACTAGATTTAAAAATTAAGTAGGTATGTATTTTCTATTAAATTTTCAATAATAACATTCCATTCAAAATTTAACATCTTATTTATGTGTACTAAAATAAAATAAACTAATCGGGTACCTCTGTTCCAATTTATCAATTTATATAGACTGCAATAATATTAAAAAAAAAAAAATAATAAAACATTATAATATTTTAAAGTTACTTGCTACTTAACATTTATTCTCCCTACCTCACAACTTTTCTACTTCTATTGGTTGATAAAACTATTGTGTACCACTGCAGCTATAAATGCACTATTAGCTTATTACCTATCTTAATCCTAGTAAAAAAATAATTTCATTCATTTTACAAAATTCTATGAACCGTAATTATATTTAATTTAATTAAACTTATTAAAATATATCTAAACATTACTATACCTAAATTTAAAAATATATAAAAAAAAAAAGCTGCATTTCGAGAGCATGTACATTTTCGATTTTTCCGATTTTGATACATGCGTTATTTTGCGGATAATTTGCGTAATTTTGCGGACTAATTTTCAAATTTTGCGGACAAATAGTTTTTTAGTAAAACTAAAAAAACTGTTGACATGCTGGTGAAATGGTTCAAAAAATTAAAAAATTAACTTTCTCTAATTTTTATTATGCCATCATTTTGCGGATAAATCGCGCAATTTTGCGGACTAATTTTCAATTTTTGCGGACAAATAGTTTTTTAGCAAACTAAAAAAAAACGTTGCAAAAATTTAAAAAACCACTTACTTCACTTTTTAGTAGATCACCATTTTGCGGATAAATCGCGCAATTTTGCGGACTAATTTTCATTTTTTGCAGACAAATAGTTTTTTAGCAAACTAAAAAAATCATTTCAAAAATTTAAAAAACCACTTACTCCACTTTTTATTATACCACAATTTTGCGGATAAATCGCGCAATTTTGCGGACTAATTTTCAATTTTTGCGGACAAATAGTTTTTTAGTAAAACTAAAAAAATTGTTGACATGCTGGTGAAATGGTTCAAAAAATTAAAAAATTAACTTTATCTAATTTTTATTATGCCATCATTTTGCGGATAAATCGCGCAATTTTGCGGACTAATTTTCAACTTTTGCGGACAAATAGTTTTTTAGCAAACTAAAAAAATCATTTCAAAAATTTAAAAAACCACTTACTCCACTTTTTAGTATACCACAATTTTGCGGATAAATCCCGCAATTTTGCGGACTAATTTTCAATTTTTGCGGACAAATAGTTTTTTATTAAAACTAAAAAAACTGTTGACATGCTGGTGAAATGGTTCAAAAAATTAAAAAATTAACTTTCTCTAATTTTTATTATGCCATCATTTTGCGGATAAATCACGCAATTTTGCGGACTAATTTTCATTTTTTGCGGACAAATATTTTTACAGCAAACTAAAAAAAAAATCGTTGCAAAAAATTAAAAAACCACTTACTTCACTTTTTAGTAGATCACCATTTGGCGGATAAATCGCGCAATTTTGTGGACTAATTTTAATTTTTTGCGGACAAATATTTTTACAGCAAACTAAAAAAAAAATCGTTGCAAAAAATTAAAAAACCACTTACTTCACTTTTTAGTAGATAACCGTTTTGCGGATAAATCACGCAATTTTGTGGACTAATTTTCATTTTTTGCGGACAAATATTTTTTTAGCAAATCAAAAAAAACTGTTGACATGCTGGTGAAATGGATCAAAAAATTAAAAAATTAACCTTCTCTAATTTTTATTATGCAGGCTAATTTTTATTTAATAAATATTTCAATTTACCATATTAAAATTATGTTATATACCTACAAATCAAAAAAAAATTTAAAAAATGTTTATAAACCGATAAGTTACTTCATTTTTAATATTCATTTTTACAAGTTATTATGTTATTATTATAATGACTATCAAAACCTGCATAATAATTTATGCAGTTTGTTTCAATGTGTATCTGTTTTGTCGTTATATGCGTTAGTAATACTTATTAATTATAAAATAAAGAAATTGCTGTTGTAACCTTTTATTATTTTAATTCCATTTTACATCTTGTTTAATATACTGGGATAGCCTTATTTTTTAAATTAAAATTACCCATTATAAAAATAGAACATTTTCAAATATTAAAGTTGTAGAGTTCATAAGGTCACGGGTTACACCAGGCATGTATAAAAGCTTTCTTGTCCATGTTATAAAATATGAAGAAGAATGTTGGAAAATGTTGGAAAATGTTTGTCTTCTCAGTTCTCTTACCAGTTTCTGGATGAAGAACAATTTCACAAAGATCACACGTTTTAACAATTACAGGTGACACGTGTTCAGCTTAAACTCAGAGTAAATCATTTGACAATAAATGTTTGTCTATATTTTTTTTAAATTTATTGTAAAATTGTTATATATTTAATTAATATAACAAAAATTAAGTTTAAATATACAATATAAAAACGGATCTATTCAACTCAATAATAATTTTATTAACTATAAAAAAATGTAATATAATATTAAGTGAATACGCGTCAGAATTCGTGAGGGCACAAACGTGGAATTTTTCATTCTCTGATCCGGCACTGCACGGCGCACGCTGTATACACGCATCGGCTTCCGCGAGCACCGTTACCCCAGCACTGCCAAGTTTTAGATATTCAGTTTTTTAGATATTCAGTTTCTATCTAAATTATACAATATTATGTACTTTATTTTGTACAATTTTGGTTGTACATAACTGTACAAAATAAAGTATATAATACTGGATAATTTTGATAGTCAGTTTCAAACTTGGCAGTGCTGGGGTGTGACTTGCTTCCGAGCGGTGGAATTGTTACGAATTGCCGTATGCTATCTGCCGTGAAGATCCTATAGATAGTTGTTATTATTATTCATATTATGTAATAATGTCTATGACATTATTTAAATATATATTTTGTTGTTTTAGTAATAATTGATTTTATTTTATTTTTGTAGTCATTTTCCAAACATGCTATTTCATATTTTGTTTTGAATACTATATACGAAAAGTGCCAGACAGCCTGGGTAAAACCTGCTAATATTTTAATAAATCCTAGACATTAAAACACACAGGGGTTAGGTCATTACTTGCATTGGCTGTGTTTATTTTTGTATAGTCATTACATTTATCCCATTTAGACTTTATTTTTAGGTTTCGTTTTTAATTAATTTACATTCTTATAAATTGCATAATAGTGTCATTTTTAAGCAAGCACTCTTAGTGTAGTGACGTACATTAGACAACGTATTCTTTGGTGATATAAAATAAAAATTTATTATTTTAAATGAAAATGAAAATTAGTCCGCAAAATTGCGCGATTTATCCGCCAAATGGTGATCTACTAAAAAGTGAAGTAAGTGGTTTTTTAAATTTTTGAAATGATTTTTTTAGTTTGCTAAAAAACTATTTGTCTGCAAAAATTGAAAATTAGTCCGCAAAATTGCGCGATTTATCCGCAAAATGGTGATCTACTAAAAAGTGAAGTAAGTGGTTTTTTAAATTTTTGAAATGATTTTTTTAGTTTGCTAAAAAAACTATTTGTCCGCAAAAATTGAAAATTAGTCCGCAAAATTGCGCGATTTATCCGCAAAATGATGGCATAATAAAAATTAGAGAAAGTTAATTTTTTAATTTTTTGAACCATTTCACCAGCATGTCAACAGTTTTTTTAGTTTTACTAAAAAACTATTTGTCCGCAAAAATTGAAAATTAGTCCGCAAAATTGCGCGATTTATCCGC